ACAACTGCTGAACTTGTTGAACATTTTCCCATGTGCTTCTTGCCTATCTGTATATCTTCTTTGAAAAAAGATCCACTTAGAAATTAAAATTGGATTGGTTGTTCTCTTGATGAAGAGTTTTAAGAGTTCTGGTATTCTTTGCTTTCAGCCAGGATCCACCTGGTATCAGTAATCATGTCAATGATGTTGTGAAAAACCCATACCTAGACCAAGAGACTATTGTGTGAACACAGCAAGGAACACGGCATGGTTTAAAGTTAGGAAAGGGTGCATCAGGGTTGAAGGGTGCATCAAGGTTGTATCCTTTCTCCATACCTCCTTCATCTGTATGCTGAGCAAATTATTCATGACACTGAACTCTATGAGGAAGAATGTGGCATCAGGAGTGGAGGAAGACCCGCCAATAACCATCAAGTGGTTGACACAACCTTCCTTACTGAAAGGAGGACTTGAAACACTTGCTACACGTTAAACACTGCAACCTCCAATATTGCATCTCACTGTCAAGAAAACAAAAATTCTCACCACTGGACTGATAAGCAAGATTATGACAGATGGAAAAAAGATCAAGACTGTCAAAAATTTCATCTTACTTGGGTCCACAATCAATACGCTTGGTACCAACAGTCAGAAAATCAGGAGATAATGATATACCTTGGAAAAGACTGCTGTTAGGGACCTCCCAAAATTTTGAGGAGCAATAATGTCAGTCTGAGGACTAAAATATGCCTGATTCAGACTATGGTCTTTCCAGTCACTTGCAAAGTATCTGAGAGATGGACAGCTGACTACAGGTGACAGAAGAATTGATGCCTTTGAGCTGTGGTGTTGGATAAGAGTGCTGAATATCCCATGCACTGCCAAAACAACAAGCAAATATGTCTTGGAGAAAGAGCAGCCAGAGTGCTCTTGAGAGGCAAAGATGCTGAAGCTTTGTTTCACATATTTTGGGCATGTTGGTAAGAGAGGAACAGTCATTGGAGAGAAGCATCATGCTTGAAAAGGTGGAGGGATGGCAAAAGTGAGGAAGATCTTCAGTTGGGTGGATTGACAACAGTGACTGCATCAATGGCTTAACTGTGTCAGTCTGTGAGGACGGCACAGGATAGGACAAGCTTCAGATTTATTGTTCATAGCTGCATGGTTCAAAATAGGGATGTGGCCAATCTCCATGCCTTTTCAATCTATTTGAAGAACAGATTATCTGGGAGGCTGGGCTCTATGAGGAGAAATGTGGCATCAGGATTGAAGGAAGACTCACCAACAATCTGTTATGGAGATGACACAACCCTGCTTGCTGAAACTGAGGAGGACCTGAAGCGTTTGCTGCAGAAGGTCAAGGACTACAGCCTTCAAAATGGATTGAAGCTCAATATGAAGAAAACAAAGATTCTCACCACTGGGCCAATTTGCAGCATCATGATAGATGGTCAAGAGATTGAGAGATTGTTAACAGCTTTAGTTTGCTTGCCTCCAAAATCACTCTTGGTACTGGCAGCCAAGAAATTAAAAGAAAAATTGCATTGGGAAAGTCTGTTATCACAGACTGCTCCAAAGTACTGAAGAGCAACAATGTCAGTCTGGAGACTAAGGTGCACCTGATCCAGGCCATAGTCTTTGCAATTACTTGCTATGAATCAGAAAGCTGGACAATGACTAAGGATGATAAAAGGAGAATTGATGCCTTTGAGCTGTGGTGCTGGAGAAGAGTATGGACTATATAGGACTGCTAGGAAAACAAACAGGTTTGTCCTGGAAAGGGTGAAACCAGGCATTCTGAAGCTTTGCCTGACATACTTTGGACATGTTGCAAGACAGGACAAAGTCCTTGGAGAGGGAAATTATGCTTGGGAGTGTAGAGGGACAGTGTAAGAGAGGAAGACCCTCGATAAGATGGATTGATTCAATGTCTGGGGTAATGGAGGTGGGTGTGTCAGAGATAATAAGACAGCACAGTATAGAATTGTTGTACATAGGGTTACAGTGACTCTACAACACATAACGACAACAGAAACAAGGGTCACTATGATTGGCCAGCACCTAACAATTCTTTTCATAAAGGGAGCTCTGGTGGCCTTGTACTAAGGAGTTGCATTGACAACCTAAAGACACACAATTCAAGACAGCTAGCTGCTCTGAAGGAGAAAGATGGGTCATCTCCTCCATGTGATTTACTGGGAAGTTCAGCTCTGAGTCAGTCTTAAGACTTCAAATACCTTTCCTAAGGAGGCACAATATTTAAGTGGTTGATTGATAATCAGATCAACAGGTCACACCCATTAGCTTCTTGACTGAGAAAAGATCTGGTGGATCTTCCCATTGATTACAACCCTGTGGGACAGTCCTACTGTTTTATAAGGTCACTATGAATCCAAATCCACTGGATGCCAAATAGCCATATTCCTTTCATGATCTTTACATCATATGGGTTATCTGATTTTTCTTTAAAATCTTTTTTCCACTATTTACAAAATTCTAATACAAATTCGAACAAATTATTTCAATTTCCTCCAACCCCCACCCATCAAATTGTACAAACCAATGATTATTCCCCTTGTCCCCCTGCACATCCACATCCCTCTGCTTTCAGCCTTTCCCACCCTCTTTGATCCTTATACTCATTCTACAATAATGGTCTTATATACAATGTATATCTTTGTGAGATTGAGTTAGACCACTCAGCATAATGCTCTCCAGTCCCTCCCAAGTTAGTTAATAATTTACAAAGTTATTGCTCCTTCATGCTGCATAGTATTCCGTTGTGTGAATGGACCATAATTTCTCAATCCATTCGTTTGTGGTTGGACATTTGGGCTGTTTCCATGTTCTTGCAATGGTGAATAATGCTGCTATGAACATTGGAGTACAAATTTCAGTTTGTGCCTCAGTTCTTATATTCTCAGGGTATATTCCAAGTAGTAGAATAGCTGGGTCATATGGAATTTCTATGTTCAGCTTTAATATCTTAAATTCATTTGCAAGCCAATTAAAATGTGGCTTAATGGATACTGTCCTTTTGTTAAGAGTGATGGAAAAGATTGCATATTCAATAAATGATAATGATGATGGTTGTACAGCATGATGAGCATGTTATGGAATTGTAAACACCAAGTGTTTAAATGACAAATATTTATTCAGGTAACACTGAATATATAAACATATACATTACATATAAATATGTATTTAGCATAGTAAAAATAGAAATGAAATTGTCTTTTTCTTCATATTTTCTTAGTAGGAGCTTTTGTTTATTTGAAGCCTTAATGACTGGGATGACCTCAAGCAAAATGGACTTTGGTTTTATCCCCCTGGCAGAGCTAATGTCGTTGATGATCAGGAACTGCCCAAGCTGAACGGGCCTCCTCTGCTTCATGAGGGTCTCCTGGCAGCGGCCTCGTCGAGGCCTGTGGGTTAGGATCGGGAGGTTTCTGAGAGAAATGGGCCGAAAGTTCACCTCATACCAGCTCTGATTCTCCAAAGAACCATGTGTCCTGGGACATTCAAAGCGGATTTGTGTTGAGACAAGGGAATAACAAATTGCCCTGCTAACCCCAAAGCTTGAGTGTGCCTGTTCTCTGGCGGTTTGAATCCACCAGTTGCTCTATGAAAGAAAGGTGGGCAGTCTCTGGATGGGTCACTATGAGCCAGATCTGACTTAATGGCAGAGAGTTTGAGTCTGGAGTTTACAGTGGAAGAGAGTTACACACTGTTACAAACTGGATGATGCTATATAGTACTGGGGATCATGGCCTAGCCAAGTTGACCCATACTATCAACCACAGGAGCTCCCTAGTTGGATGTAAACTCCTTACCATTGACTTCAGACTTTTGGTGTTCTTTTACTTCCGTTCCTATCTACATCCTCCTGTCAGTTTATCTATTCATTCCCTCACAGCAAACTCTTTTAGGGCAGAGATTTTTTACAATGAAACTCATTAGCTAGGACTTAGCACAGCACCTAGTATCATAAAAAAAACCCACAAAAACTCAGAACAGTTAATAGCATTTAGTTTTATTTAAAGGTAACAGTTTAAAGAGGAGTAACATGAATAGTGTTGAACATTAACTTCTGAAAAATCACATTTCTATAAAAGGAAGAAAATAGGCCAGCAGAAGCCCAAAAAAGATGCAGCTCGTATTACTGCACTTGGATGAAAAAAATGTAGTGCAAGACTTTTAAACCAGTTCTTGTCAGTTTAGTCATGTCTGACAAATAAAATTAGAATGAACTCAACTTTATAAAATGTAAGTAAATGAGAATGACAACCAGATTAAGAAAAATACAAAGCCAACTATCAGCTAGAACCTAACCTTGTCTTAGAAAACAAAAGCAGCCTGCGTCTTGCCTAGCAACCAAATCTTTTGATCCACAGAGTTAGAAACAACACTGACCTGTTCAAAGATGGCAGCCTACTCTATTGCTTTGATGGCATAAGGGCCTTTCATAGTCGTGGCAATGACTCAATCACAGTAAGTTCCTGAAAAGGCTTCATGTCTCCCTTTCTAGTGTTTTGGCTTGTTATTTTTTTCCTTTACAGTTATAATGTCACATCACCCAGATTTTAAAAACATGAGCCAGTTCCGATTTCACTGTATTGGCCATGATTTATCCAATTTGATTCAGGGTGGTATAACATTCACACAACACAAGATTAAGGGAGACAGGACAAAGAGAGGCCAATCTCCGGGTATTCTAGATTCCAGAGTCTCCTGTGTCCTCCAAAAGATTTAGCATCTTTAAAACATTCAACAAGAGCTCTTCACAAAAAAAGCATTGTCCTCTAAATTATGCACAAGGAGTTGATTGTACATCTGTGCTTCACAGAAGGGAGACCACATCACCAAAGCCATGGAGGTGGAGGAAGGGAATTTATCAGAGAACAGCACCATGGCTCTGGCCTCTTGAATTTGGTCATTTATTTAGGCACATGAGAAAGTGACAGAAGTACAAATGAGTCCTGAAGTAAAGACTAGGCTGCTATTAGAAAACAAGACAAGGTCCCTTGCCACCTTCAGGAAGGTGGCAGTAACTGTAGGTATAAGAAAAAGACTGTAAACGCATAGAAAAGATAAATTTCTGGTTCCTAAACAAATTACAAAATTGATTTTTGTCTTTTCCCTTGAGTGTTATACAGAAAAATGTAAACCAGCAGACCTAGTTACCAAAAGAAAAAAAATAAAACTACCCTTTAGGCTCCTAACCCAAGATGTGATTTTAAAGTTTGAACTTTGCTAATTTCACCATCAGGTTTTGTCCAAGTATGTCCATGAACTCAAAGGTATTCAGGTAGTCAGACCGTTGCACGCTAGAAAGAAAGAGGGGGGGAAAGGAATTTAGTTTGCTTTTTATGTGGATTTAGTTAAAGGAAAAGTTCTAGAAATGCTACTTAAAGGGGTGTATTTATTTCTGGAAGAAAAATTATTAAGATTAAAAGGAAACAAACCAACCCCTGTTGCCACTGAGTTGATCCTGACTTCCAACAACGCTCTAGGGCAGAGATCTACGCCCCTAGTGTTTCAAGGCTAGACAGGGAGGTCCGGTGGCACAGCCCATGGAGAGCTGCATTGTTAACTCAAAGGCCCTTCCTCTCTGGCAGCTCACATTCACCTTTAGCTCTGAGGGGGGAAAAATGGGCAATCTGCACCTGTGCGATTGACAGCATCTAAAACCTTGCTGGAAGGCCAGCTTCGAGTGGGTTCTGATGCAGCAGCAATGAGGTTTTGAGTTTGAGTATCTTGATGGCACCTCTTTTCATGAGAGATGGTTGGTGACCTTTCAGTGGGCGGCCACACATTCAATCAATGTGCTGCCAGGACTCCTCCAGTAAGGTCAACAAGCTACAACATCTGCAGACTGTGCTACTCGAGGTTCAAGGCTGACTCAGTCTTGTGACTTAGGGGGCAGAACAGTCTGGTGGAAGCTCATTCAGGCTTGGTTTCTTACCATGGAGCCCTGAGGGTGAAATTATCAGGGCTTCTGGAAATCAACTACTTCTTGTTCCTTGTCCTTAATAATTACGAAGCCCATGTGTAGCACAGCTATTCCTTTACCTAATTCCCATGAGCTATTAGTTGGCCTTCAAAACCATTTTAAGGCAAAGGGCTTGAATAATCCTGTTGTCAGGTGTCTATCCAAACTCAAATCACTGCGTCAAGCTGGAACTCCTAGCTGGCCCTCAGACTATAAATCACACAGTGCGACACTGTCCATCTTTTCCTCTTGGAGCTGCTGGTGGATTGAAATTTCCAGACAGGCACTCTGCCTCTACCTCAGCAGTGCAACTCCCAAAGACTATATACGACCCTAGGTTTCTCTACAAAGAAGGCACAAAGATAACACACTGATATTAACGTGTCAAACACTGTCCTCTTCCTGTAAGCTTAAGATTTAAAAGACCCCACACTGATTCAATTTACTCCTGTTATTAACAAATAAAGGACCTCCTATGGCCTAGTGAGTCAAGAATTGCACTGTTAACCCAAAAGTAGATGGTTCAAATCCTCCTGCTGCTCGTGGGAGAAAGATGGATCATCTCCACCCATGAGAGAAAAACTTGCTGGAAAATCTGAAAACCTGCTGGAGCATCTACTATCAGTTGACTTCCAGTTTGATAGCAATGAGTGTAAGAGCCTGTTTGACTGATAGTTACAGACACTTAAGGAATGAGCCACCATCTGGCGGACATCTTATTTCACTTGTGCTGCTTACCTTAAATAAAGAAAAGGAAGAGTATCAGATGCTCTTTTGTTTCTAATTGTTCATTATTTTCAGAACCTTTGAATTCAACTGCCAACTCAGTCAAGGGTCCAAAAACTAGAGTGTAAGGTAAATCTGGCTCCTAGCCTGGCTTGATACATAAAGTTTTACTGGAACTTTGTCCCTCCATTCATTCCTCACATGTCTATGATTTCTTTACTGCACAAAGGCAGAGTTGAGTTGTTGCAAAGAAGACCATATTTCTTTTCCACACAAACTAAACCATTCACTGACAATTTACAGAGAGAATCTGTCGATCTCTGTACTAGATGATGAAAAGCAATTTGGATAGTTTAAAAAAAAATTTGAGGAGTTAGATCCTTTGAAAAGAAGGTGTGATTTGACTGCAGTGTTTAGGGCTACTTGTACTTACTTGGATAAACCTTTAATGCAAGCAGCCAAGTCCTTGGTCATGCTGCCAGCCTCAATCGTCTCAATACAGACCTCCTCCAAAGTCTGTGCAAAGATGCTGAGCTCTTTGTTCTTATCAAGCTTAGCTCTGTGAGCTAACCCTCTGGTCCAGGCAAAAATGGAAGCTAAGACGCACACACACACAGAGGGAAAAAGTACATCTCAATCAGACCTGTCAAATACATTCTCAAATGTTTTAAAGTTTACAAAAACAGAATAGTTTTTCCTTCAGATAAGTGACTCCATTAGATGCTATCTACATGGACAATTAGTTTTACCAAATGAAAACTTTGAATAATCTGCAGTTTTGTAAAGAAAAAACCCTGGGTATTCCTATTAGTGCTTTAAAACAATGTCTATTTTCAGGGATATAGTATTAAGACTTGAAACTTAAGGCATTTTTAATTTGGAAAAGGCTGTAATCTTTCCTATCTCATTTACTCCAGCCACCTCTTCCAGGCTGTGAAAGTGTTGTCCTTGACAGCATTCAATAAGGAGATGACCAGTACACTGTCACTAAAGCAAGGGAAGACACAGAGAGGCATAGGATTCACAGAAATCAGCACTGGGAAGAAATGACAAGAGTACAGCTACATGATTGGCACTGAAATGAATGTTATTGATCAAACGGGGAACAAATGAATGAAAAATTGAAAGAAAAGTTAATTTGCCTTGTAAACATTTACTCAAATCATAAGAAAATAAATTTTTCTAAGTAAAGAAGAGAAAAAAGGTGCTATCCTTGAATAACTTGGAAGGGCTTATGAGGCTTTTAATTCTTAGTCTCTGTGATATTTCACTGCACTGAAAGAAGAAGAAAATGCATTTAATAACATTCTTCTCTGCAAAGAATATTATTCTTACATTAATAGAAGTTGAGGGTAGGTAGATAGAGATGTTGATGTCAGATGCTCATGATCTCTGCCACGTTCAAGTTCACTGTTGTAGTCACCATGTCAATCTGAGTGGTAGATATATATACACATATATATCTTGGTAAATATTTATCAGTCATGATAGATGTGTGTGTGTGTGTGTGTGTGTGTGTGTGTGTGTGTGTGTGTGTACACATTTTCAGGCTTAAATGAACACGGCTATTCTCAGTAGAACTTGGTGATAACTCTGTCCACAGGCACTGAGCGGCCCCAGGAACCTCTCAAGTCCTCTGGAGATTGTTGCTCTCTAATCAGTAATACGACCTTACCGATAGGATTGGTGGATGTCTCCTGTCCCTTCTGGTACATGCGGTAGTGACGTGTAACAGTCCCGTGGGCAGCCTCTGCTTCGACTGTCTTGCCATCTGGACAAACCAGCACACTGGTCATCATGCCAAGGGAGCCATAACCTGTCAGTTTTAGAACATGAAGACTGGGCTTAACTTCACTGAGAACTGATTCTCAGAGAGCAAATACCTTCATCTTGACTGGTCGTTGTGAATAAAATGAACACAGGCACATGGAGTCAGCTCCAATTCTGTTTTTTGCTAAGCAAAATACTTGCTTCAGTTCCTGAGCCAAAAGATCAAGAAAAGCTTCATTTTTGTCTTCATGATTTCAGAGGTGTTGGGTTTGACCGCCTGCATTCTACCCAAACTCTCTGACTAGAAGATGCTGTGCCTCAGTTTTCTTACCTATAAATATAGGAAAATATACTCATTTAAGAAAATGAGTATAATAAAAGCACCAATCCCACTGGGTAGCTGTGAGAATTCAATAACTACACATATGTTCAGAAAGAAATAAGAAAGGAATACATAGATCCATGATCCAGTAACCCCGTTCTAGAACTATGGTCCTTTCTCTAAGTTCATAGTTTCCACACGCATGTTTAGGAAGTGGATGCCACTCCTCCTTCCAAGCCCGTCTTAATCGGTGAGCTCTGACAAACACTGTCAACCATGTTCCATAGGACAAATATTGTAGAGAAGAAGGCAGGCTGCATGTAGGCTGTTAATTTGTGACTCCCGGTGGTACAGCTGTCTCGGTGAGGACTTGCTGGGTCCAACTGGAACATAATTTACATTTGCGTTTGATAGCAACATACAACTTATCTTCCATTAGATACGGCAAAATTAGAAAACAAAGCAATAGCTTCTGTTAAAAACTAACAGTTTCAATTTGAGTAGAAGGAATTCACCATTCCTGCAAGGAAATCATTCATGTTTGCATCATAATGATTACTTGACAGCTTAGTGATAAAGAGATCAACTTTACCACCTTTAAGTAAACAGATTAAAATTTTTATTTGTAAACTCATTTTGAGAGTTTAAAATTTGTGTGGAATTGTTGCTGTTAGGCGCCATCGAGTGGACTACAAATCATAACAACAGATCTGAACAGCTCCCCAGCCCATGTGACAATCATTGTGCCAGTCCATCTCCTTGAGGGCCTTCCTCTCTCTCCCTGATCCTCCACCCGTCCCAGCCTCATGTCTCTTTCTAAAGACTGGGCCCTCCTGACAAATGCCCAAGGTCTGTGGCAGAAACTTTCGCCCTCCCTGCCCCTAAGGTGCACCCTGGGTGCATTTCCAATAAGACAGACTTATTTGTTCTCTTGACACCATGGGATAATCAGTCCTTTTTCTGCCGACACCACAGTTAAAAGGCATTGTTTCTTCTAATGTCTTCCTTATTCATTGTCTAACTTTCAGATGTACATGAACAACTGAAAATATCAGGACTTGGATCTGGGGCAACTTAGTCTTTAAACTGACATTGCTCTTTAGCACTCTGGCGAGATCCTTGACAGTAGATTCTCAATGCAACAAGTGTGAGAGATTAGTTTGAGTCTTTAGCAAACATTCAAATAAATGCCTAGTAACAGAACTTCAGAACCACGAGCGCAGTGAGCCTGTCCAGCTAGTACCAATAGAAGATACTACTTGGTAGCATTGTCAGAATTAAAGAAATCAGTGAAACTTCAGTTCAAAGTAGCTCACTCCTCCAGAGCAGACAGTTCTGCTGCCTTTTAATCCATTTAGTTGCCTAGGGTCACATTCATCTATAGATTTTCCAGACACAGCCTAGGTTTCGAGTCTCTTGTCAATGCACCACGTGCAGGCACTGAACTATAAAACTGCTCTTTCAGAGAACCTCTGCAACTCATTATTTACATCAGCAGTACAAGGAAGTACAGTCCCCTCATGTAATGTTTGACTGATACAGTCTGTTCTCTTATTGGTTTTCAGAACTGTTGTTCACAGAGTTGCTATGAGTCACAGTAGACTCGATGGCACCTAACAACACAACAACAAACTCTCAGAGCAGACTAAGGAGTGGGGTTTCAGGCCACACCCCATCCCCACAGCTCCTCCTCTGTCCTTTCCTTATCATTTCCAGGCAGCCGTGTTCCGGGGTTCCTGGCTCCAGCCTGTGGTAGCTGCACATGATTGGGAAGCCACTCCAAGAACAGGGCCAGCCAGCAATGCTCCCTGCAGCACCACTGCTCCCTCTCCCTGCACCCGATCTCACGCATAGTCCCTAATATGTTCCCATGCATCTGCCAGTACAACCCTGAGCCCCATACTCAACTAGGCCAACTTCCTGTATCCAGGGGATATAGCCCTGGGGCGTTGACTTGAGGGCTCTTAACGGCTTTAATATATTTATTATATTATAGTATAGTATAGTATAGTATAATTATTATATTATATTATATTATATTTATATATTATATATTTGTCAAGACTGCCTATATATAAAATGGTGTTTGTAAAGTCCAAATCGCACAACATCGTACTTCAGGCTCTAAACAACAAACTCCTGTATTCCTTCACACACATTCATCTTGTTGCCATGAATCAATGGGGTGATTGTGGATCGCTTTCCAAAATCTAAGAGGTCTTATAACAAGGAATAATTTTTTATCCCCCATGGTATCATGAAGCAAAGTTCCTTTCCCTACTCCACATAGTAGGATTTGCACAAACAGTACCAGGGTAAAGATAAAGAGAATTGTGTAACTCTTTATCTGACATTACTGGGTGGGTCTACTGATTTCCAAACTGATAAGAGACTTGACTTTCACAAGAAAAAGAAAAGCCGTAGTACTTCCTGGAGAAAAGCAAATACTACCAATATTAAAACTACCACTTACCTGTGGGGATTCTAGTTCACAACAACAGGGCAACTGAGACTGAAGAGCAGCTCTGTGCTTAGGGTATCAAGAGGAGACATTTCTGTTGGCCTGGCTCTCACTCCTGGCTCCTGGAGTTTTTGTGACTAGTTCTGAGCATCTTTGCTTAATTCCTTTGTCTTTCAAACTAAGCAATCATTTCCTAAAGTGCCAGACCAGCTTCAAGGCTGTACAATTAGTTTTGTTACGTGCCATTGAGTCACTTGCGACTCACAGTGACCCTATGAACAACAGCTCTGAACCCTGCTCTATCCTAAGCCAGACTCTTGGTCTCCAACATGCTGAGTTAATCCACCAGGGTCTTCCTCTTTTGTGCTGTCCCTCTACCCTTCCCAAGCATGATGTCCCTCCCCTGTTGTCAAATCAACGGGCTCTCGACTGGACAACACAGGCCCTTCACATTATCTCTCCTAGTCCAGAGGCCTGGATGTCCCATCTTTCCATTCTCATCAGAAGGGAAATAAGGGTGGGGAAGAAACAACTTTGAATTAGGCATTTAAGCAATCTGCTGGACGTTCTGATGCCTCAGATGAGGAAGGTTCAGCTTTGGAAACAATGTTAGCAACTAAAGATGGAGCTAGGCATGTCAACCTGCTCAGTGACTTCTGGTGTGAGTAAAGTCACTTCCAAGTCTCAGCTTGGTTTCCTTTCTAGTCAGAGGAGAAGGTGATCTTAAATGCCTAACAGCAACCATTTCCTTCATGACTTTATAAGGGGCTACCACAAGCCATGCCCTCCCCCCGCGAACTGGAAGAGCTCCTACAGAATGACCGTGTGTGCTGCAGGCCAAGCCTCTCCTCTACTCATCCCCTGGCTCCTCACCTTGGGCAATGGAATCCGACTGCACGTCGCCATCATAGTTCTTGCAGGCCCAGATGAAGCCACCCTCGGACTTCAGAGCTTGGGCCACCATGTCGTCGATGAGCCGATGCTCGTACCAGATCTCCCGGTCTTCAAACTGAGATTTGTATTTCCTAAGACACAAGAGAGAAAAGGAATAAGGCTGGAACCAGTTTACGTGAGGTGTTTTCTACTCTCCCAACAGTGAGGCAGGAAGTGGTATTTTCAGTAGAAACAGCATAAACAAGTTGGGAATTTGATTGCTATGGGCTCAGATGGAACATTTTTCTTCCCACGAAGCCCAAAGCATCTTTAAGGGTCATTTCACCCACTCTGCAGGCAAAGTGGGAAAATAGTGACACAATGGAGGGTCTCAACCATAGTTTTCATTGCACTACTGAGAAGAATAATGATATGCAGCGTAAGAAAATACGCAAAGATAAAAACAGATTCATTAGCTGCCTGGATATCATTCTAGAAAAGGCGTATGTGAGAACAAGTTCCTAGACAGGTACTGCTGAAAGGTAGGAAGAGAACTCACAATGCATTAGGAGGGATTATCTCATCTAAAATGTGAGAGCCCTCACCTGACAGCACACCAAAAACCACCAAAACACACCTATGTTGTCTGATTACTAACTCATGACCACTTGTTTCATCTAAAGGTGTATAAAGAAAGACTTAAGTTCAAGAAACTGCAGGATTTAAAGGGATTTATTTTATCTTAGCAAACAAAACAACAATTTGAAGCAAAGTAGAAATGGTACTCAGTAATTCAAGGACTGAAGAAGCTTCTGTCACTCGCTTGTTAACCTTTTTTCAAAACTCAGTAATGCTGGCTCTGAGCAGTAAGTGGAGGGCGCTTGTTTGAAAGGATGTCTCTCTTCTGAGAGCACCTCAGAGTGATTTTCATTCCTGTTAAATCTGTACTCATTTTTAATGAGTGGAGGTTTCACTTCATGTAACCCAGAATCAAAGATGAGAACCGTTTCTGTACCACAAATACTAGCTTACTTGGGAGAAATTCTTAAAAAATAAAATAAAAGCCAGTTACTTTTCATATATTTCCTGAAAGATGTCTTTAAAACGTCCATCATATTTCTTCAGGATAGTGTTTTTGGTGCTCAGGTACAAAGGCCAACCCTTATCCAGCGCCATCTGGAAGGAACTGTGAGCAAAATCTTCAATTGATTTATCTTCATTGAACATCCCCATGGCAACACCACCACTTCCTGGGAGGAAAACAGATGAGAGGAACAAGGGAAAGGTAAATGGGGACGACTTATACAAAGCTGGCACCATCCCATTACCACTATTCTCGGCTCCCATAGTAGAGCGCGGGCTTCAAACAGCCTCGGTCAGGCTTCCCGCCTGGAATCCCATGACTTCTGAGGGAAACTAGGTCTAGATAAGAACATTCTAAATGGTTTTCAAGGAGCCCTGCCAGTTTAGTGCATTATATGTTGCACTGGTGACTGAAATGTCAGGAGTTCAAATCCACCAGTTGCTTCATGGGAGAAAGTACAGTTTCCTCCTGCAAAGATTTACAGCCTTATAAACGTGTGCAATTAACTCAGTGGCAGTAAGTTATTGTTTTGGGAGGGAATAGAAATGATAGAAGCATACTAATGGGATGATTTAGAGATATACTTAAGGAACAGTAAATCACTTTTAAAACATTTTTTATATGTTTCTTAAATTTCCAATGTATTTAAAACTTTGGTGTGCATTCACTCCTCAGGCATTGAGAAAACTTTGAATCTCAAACACTGAATGAAAGCTTTCTTAGTTTCCTGGAGGATGTGAAAGGTTCCTACTACAGTATGTAGTAATAATTATGCCACATGTAATCACTAGTGTTTCACAACTGCTAGTAGTTGAACTCTGTTACTAAAACACAGACCTTGAACTTATGCCATGGCCCCAGGCAAACTCAAGAGAGTAAAAACCCTTGAAACTGGTAGAACTGCATTCTATTAAAATGATATTATTTGGAGGAGGAAAGGAAAATATAGACTAGGTAACTTTTCCCCCCCTTGGTGTGAGAATGTTTAAGAGTCTGGTAGTAGTAAAAAGGCAATTTTTATTTCTTTGAGCAACTTTTGAGTGGGTTTTGCCATAATGACTTTCTCAGGCAGGGGGGTGAATGGCTAGGAGGAAAAGGCAAAAAGCAACTGTTTCGCTCTCAAAGGATAAATACGTAGAATGGCGAGAAGTTAATTTCAGCAATTATATAATACAAACATTTCCTGTACAGGCAGGATTACATGAGTGATTTGAGCTATCAATATCTAATTTACATAATTTGGACACAACAGTTTCCCAGCAATCTTCTCTCTCTGGTTTCAGACAAATAGATAATTACCTACTTGTCTCTCCCAACATGTATTTCTAATTAAACTCTTTTGTGCCCTTCCATACCATGGAAGGCATTTATTTTTTAATGTTAGATTTTGGGTCCTACAGAAATGGTAAACATAGAGGCTGTACTTTCAGGCAGCCACAGAGCGAATTTTAAAACACCAGTAACGATGCCATCTCATGAGGTAAGTTACCTGTGGAAAAAATAAAGGTGTGGCTTATGACGGCATCATACATACCTTCAAAATTATGTACCAAGTAGGTCATCTTTTGGCTTCCGTCACTTGGCGTGTAGGTTATTTCTACTTTTCCAGGACCAGGAACAACAAAATCAGTTGCTCTATACTGTTTGGACAAAGCACATGAACGAATAAATAAAAACGGTATGAGTAAATTTACTTCCACAAGAAACCAAAGCAAATAAAACTAGCCAACAAGAATTATAAAGGGGGACAGTATCACAGACCACAGTGATGGCAGACGACTTGATAAGCCAGTATGGCTCAGCCTTCTCTTTTTATAGATGGGAACCAAAAGGTTGAGAGAGTTCCGCAAACTAGTGACTGACGGGTGGTTAGGGGTAATTGTTGTTGCATCAAACTGGTCTTAGACTCATGGCGAGCTCACGTGCTACAGAGCAGAAGTGCTCCAAAGGGTTGTCTTCACTGTAATCTTCACGGATATAGTCTGCCAGGCTTTCTTCCACAGAGCTGCTAGCTGGGTTTGAATGGCCAACTTTTAGATTAATAGCCAATTATAAATGCCTTGTGCTACTTGGTGCTTCAGTTACTGGTTGTTATTGTATAACTCAAGTGCCTTAGAGTTGGAACAAACTCCACAGCTGACCCTCCAGTGGGTTTTCAGAGGCAGTAAATCACACAGGAGGAGACTGCCCATTCTTCTTCCATGGAGCTGCTGGTGGATTAGAACTGTGTGCCTTTGGGATTGTAATGCAATTTTTTACCACTAGACCACCAGAGCTCCCTCAGTTAGTGGCAGAGCACATTAAAAATCAAAACTATTCTGAGAAAAAACCAAAACCAAAACCTGTTCTGATCATTTCTTCATGTGTCTGTTGGTCATCAAATGTCTTCCTCTGTGAAGTCTTTCCATGTCTTTTGCCCATTTTGTAAGTTGTTTATCAGTCTTTTTCTTCTGGAGGCCCAGGAATATTCTGTAAACTTTTGTTATGAGACCCTTGTCTGAGACAATATTGCTAAATGTTTTTAACCAGTTGGTAGGTTTTCTTTTCACCCTATTGGGAGAAGTTTTTGATGGGCACAGAGATTTAATCTTTAGAACGTTTTCAATTTTATCTTCTCAGGACTGTACATTTTCGGTTGTTTTTGCCAGCCTCTTTACACCACAGACTAGATCTTCTAAGTTTTGTCTCAGTTTGTCTCTTATGAACTTTACCAATGGCAATAAGAGAGATGTAAATAAAAACCACAATGTGATATCATCTCACCCTAGTAGCAGTGGCAAAGTTTAGCAGGGCAGCAAGCAATAAATGTTGGAGAGGATGTGGAGAGGTGGGAATTCTCCTACTCTCTTGGTGGGACTGTAAAACAGTACAACCACTCTGGAAGGCAGTTTGGCATTTCCTCAAATAGCTGAACATAGAAACTCCATATGATCCAGCTATTCCACTACTAGGAATATATAACAAGGAAATTAGAATTGAGACACAAATGGAGATTTGTATACTAATATTCATAGCAGTGTTATTCACCATCATATGAACATAGAAACAGCCCAAAGGTCCAACCACAATCTAATGGATTGAAAAATTGTGGTACATTCACACAATGGAATACTATGCAGCACGCAGGAACAACATTCTTAGAGGGGTTGATTAATAGTACGAGTGGTGGTACTGAAGGTGGTGATGATAAAGAGCTCGTGGTTTGGGTCTTTACTATATGTAGGGTGCTTTACCTCATATAATAATCTTATGAAAAGATAATTTTGATGTGGAGAAAATTATTCCCCCAGGTCCTGTTCCTTAGACTTTCACAGCTATAACTGCAGGCTCCAGGCTTGGCATACACTGGACCTTCTGAAGTCTCTGCTCCACTGTACCTTCTTCAGTGAACTAAATTGACAGGTGCCAGCCACACCTATTTGTTTAAATCTGTGTAGAAGGCTACTAATGACAGTTGTTAAAAGAGCTGTCAGATAACAATAAGGATTAAATCCTTATTCCACCTTGAAGCCAGACATGAAGTCCTTTGCTGATGGGGGGGTTAAATGATTCCTATTCCCTAAAGGAAGAAATTAAAGGGCTAGCAACATACACCTGTTAAAGGGGACTTAGGTATAGTTAAATGGTTAGTGAGCAAACCTAATGTTTGGGATTTTCACTCTGGACTTTAATAAATAGAATGACCATTTTGACAAGATGGTAACTAGTTAACAAATAAATAAAAGAGCAAAGGACCCCCCAAAAAAGCCACCACCAAACCAGATACACTTCGCATGGTACTCCTGGGAACCCATATTTGTACGGCTCCCATCTGCGTTCCCTGGCCTCGGCCTCTGGAGAGTATCTAAGAAGGGACTGCTCAAGATGAAAGAATGGTTTGGCTGCCATAAGAAAAGCAAAATTCAATCCCAGAGGTGCACGGTTCAAATCCACCAGATGCTCTGCTGAAGAAGGAGGAACAATCGCCTCCTGTACCAGTCATATCTGATTTGACGGTACACACATAAAATATAATTTAAAATAATTAAAAAAAAAAAAAAGAAAAGAAAAATTAACTGGACTGAGCCCAAGACCCCAGCACCAGGCACAGGGCACATTGGCCATGGGGTTTCAGTACTGTTACATCTCAGCATCTGCATGTCATCAATTGAGAAACATATTTCCAAAACTTTTTAAAACATAGCAGGCTGCTTTCTAAGAAAGCATTTCTAAGGCAGAATTTGGATTTTGTGTAGTTACAGGGGGTTTTCTGGTTTAATTTGGCAATGAGCCTACTTCTGTTGAGAAACTATTTTTTTTCCCTAGTCAGGAAAGAGTAAAGAAATGCTTTCAAATTATTGCGTCCATCTTTCGTGTATAAAGTGAACAGGTCCAATGGTCTTTGGTGGTTCTCAAACATATCTGTACATTAGAATCACTTAGGAGCTTGATGACCCTGAGTCCCTCTAGAAATTGAGATTTAAGTGGCAAAGGATGAGATGTGGTGGTGCTGTGGGTGAAAACATTTGGCTCCTAACCAAAAGGTGGGTAGTCTGGACTCAATAGCTGCACAGAAGTAATAAGAGGCCGTCTCTATCCATAAAGATTTACAGCCTTGGAAAACTTGGGGGCAGTTCTAGGCTGCATTCTGTTCTGCAGGTTTACTGTGAGCTAGAATTGAATGCAAGACACTGGGTATAGTTTCTGTTTGGCATGGGGTAGACCCAGGCATCAGAATTTAAACAAAGTAAAAATAAATTAAAAAACACCAAAAGAAATTCCCAAGGAGTTTCAGAAGCACTGATCAAAATATTAGTGGCTCATTTATACAAAATAATATAAAATTACTAATAAAAAATGGCAATACTCTAAGTTTAACCTAATTAAGCGACAAAAAAAAAAAAACACAAAAACCCATGTTTAAGAAAAATTACACGCTGAGGCAAATGCCTACCTCCAAATTTGTCCTGATTTCATTATATTTTTAAACAGGTAAATACGCAGCTAGAACATCTATAAATGCATTTTCAATTCTGCATCTCACTTAATGGGACCAAAAGAACGGAGCTTGCATTATTGGAGCTGCCGGGCAGCCAAAACCATGAAAAAAAACCCCAAAACCAATATGCAAAACCGGATTCTGAGCAAGGGGCGAGATGATGCCGAAGTGACTTACTTGATCCCCATAAGCATGGCGGCCGATGATGATGGGCTTTACCCACCCGCTCACGAGCCGCGGAATGTTTTTGCAGATGATCGCTTCCCTGAAGACTGTGCCCCCCAGGATATTGCGGATGGTGCCATTTGGTGATTTCCACATTTGCTTCAAGTTGAACTCCTCGACCCTCTTCTCATCCGGGGTGATGGTAGCACACTTGACGCCGACGTTGTATTTCTTTATAGCTTCGGCAGCATCCTTGGTGACCTGGTCGTTGGTGGCATCACGATTCTCTATGCTTAAATCGTAGCTGGGGAGGGAAAAATGTAAGTGTAACTTTTCATAGAGATTGAGGCTGTTGATAGTATTAGCATCCTAGTGGTGGTGTACAGAGCTTGCTCCCAATTCGCCCGCATTTGCCAAATTTTAAGCACTGTGGCTGGTAGCAGCTGTTGAGTCAGCGCTTAACTTAACTGCAATCTCATATATGAGGGAATGAAAGCCTGCCCGTTCCTATGCCACCTCTGTGATGGACTGCAGATCAGACTACTGTGGTCCACAGGGTTTTCACTGTGGGGAAAGGAGGTGGCAGGCCTTTCTTCCTCATCTGTCTCAGTCTGGAAGCTCCATTGAAACCTCTTTAGCATCACAACAGCGTGGAAGTTTCCAGACAGAAGGGTAGTGACTCCATGGGAAATGCACTGGCCAAAAGTGAACCCAGGAAATCAAACCCTGGTGAGAATTCTATCACTCAACCACCAATTCTTCCAAGTTTTGTTTTTGTTGTTACCTGCCATCAAGTTGACTAGTAAGTCATAGAAATTCTACAAACAACGGCTCTGAACCCTGCCCTAACCTGAGCCCACCTCACCATCTCTGACACACCTGACCCCATTGTTACAGTCACTGTCAATGCATCTCATTGAGGGTCTTCCTGTCTTAACATTTACCCTCCACCTTTCTACACATTATGTCCTTCAATGACTGGTCCCTTTTGACAACATGAACAAAGTGAGACGGAGTTCCACCATCCTTGGCCAATCAGCCACTTGCTTATCTTTTTAAACAGAGAATGCTGACTCTCAACAGATAACTAACTCAAACTAGAAGCAAGGTCAGCAATTTCTTTTGTTTGTAGGAGCCATTTCTCATCAGGAAACTATCAATAACAAACAACTCATTGCCCTCAAGTCAGAACTGCTTCATAGCAGGTTGTCAGAGGCTGTAAATCCCACAAAAGAATACTGCCCATCTTTCTCCTGTGGAGCAGCTGGTAGCTTTGAACTGCCTGCTTTGGGATTGGAAACACAACTCCTTAACCAGTAGGCCACCTAATAGCAAACCAGTAGGTTTTTTTTCTCTTTTACTTTGCTTCTTATCATTTCTAAGAGAAACACAAATCTCACTCATTGTCATAAAGTCTGAACCAACTCATAGCTGACTCTTCCTTGAGCTTCCAAGGCTGTAAATTATATGAGAGACTGCTCCTGCCAAGTAGCTGGTGGATTTGAACCACCCAAGATGCATGGCCACCAGAGCTCCTTGCTAAGAGGGGAAAAAGAAAGAAACTCGCCGCTGACCTTCCAGTGGATTTCTCCCTTGAAGCAGCTGGTGGGTGCCAGCTGCCTCTGTTTGGACTGGCAGCACCACTCCTCTAATTGGGCAAGCTATCAAAGAGAAAACAACAACTCCGTGGCCTCGATCACTGTCTAGCAGCCGATATAAGAAAGGCTCCACTCCCTCTCAGAAAGAACCAAGCATGGAACAGTAATTGCAATTTTAGCACAACCTGAAACTTGGTTGGCCTTCCAAAATTTCTTTGGTCTGTACTCGCTGGTTTTTTTCCCCTTCTGGCACAATAATTGCCCTTTAATACGGCTTATGATTCGAGGCTAAAAAAGACAAAATAATTTTGCAGCCATCGTGCGGGCATAAAAGAGACCTTAGTGGTGGAGTTCTCATGCAAACTCCCAGCTTGCCCTCTCGCGGGTTTCCAGAGCTATGAATACACAGGACACGGCCCATTCTCCTCCCATGGAGCCGATGATAGGTTGAAAGCAGCAGAGAAGCATGGTCTTTGGGGTGGGCATGGCAGTTCCCCTCGAGCTGTGCTATCAGAGTTCCTCAGAGCTCCCCGACTGTACACTACCGTTGTTGTGTACTGCAGAGTCCAAACCGACCCGTAGCTGACCCTCCAGCAGGTTTCCAGAGGCAGTAAATCACCCGGGAGGAGACCTGCCCATTACCAGAAGCAGCTGGTAGCCTTGCACCCCGTGCCTTCGGGATTGCAGTGCAGCTTCTTGCCACTAGGTCACCAGAGCGCCCTGTATACTGAAAACACTGGATTTAAAAAAAAAAAAAACAAAACCAAACACAACACCACAAAAACAATTTGTGGCAGTCATACATGAAGCGGGTCCGACATCATGTATTCACTTTGTGTGTCTGTCACACTTTTGGTGTTTCTCGCACAGTATTTCAAACTTTTCCATAATGCTATTGCACACTTAATAGACTTTGTTGTTGTTGTGTGCTGTTCAGTAAGAACTGACCCACAGCTGACCCTCCAGCATGTTTTCAGAGGCAGTAAATCCTATGAGAGGAGACTGCCCATTCTTCTCCTGTGGAGCAGCTGGTGGATTAGAACCATGTGTCTTTGAGATTGTAGTGTAAGTTCTTACCACTGGGCAAAAGGCAAATTAAATTTTATATACACTGAGAAGGAAAAAAAAATCATGTAACTTGCTTTACTGCAAATATCTGGCACAGAACCCTCAATATCACTGAGGTTTTCCTGCACCTAAATCCTCTGGACTACCCTTTGCCCTGTAAGTCTCTGAAACAGGAGAGAATTTATAAAAAGCTTCCTAGTCTACTTAAAGATCTTTCCCTGCCTCATTTCCTATGGCCAACTTTGCCAGTATTGGCTCCATCTTGTGGTTACTATCTAGACATAACCAGCAGCTTCAGCTTTGGAACAATTAAAAACAGTGTTTAATGACTCCATGTGAATTAAATATCTACACCTGACAAACATCTCCGGGCCACAGCAAAGGCACAGCCGCCAATAGTTGGGCTGAAATCTGTTACTCAACATCTCCTGCTACAAAGTCTGCCTCTGCCTGGTTCAAATGTACTCAGAACATGAGCAAGTGTATGAAAAAACACGAGAATGTGCATGCACTTTCACCTCTGTCCTCAAACTCTTTTAACACAGAACAAAGACACAAATCTTTAGGACAAAAATGGGGGGGAGCTCTGGTGGCCTAGTGGCAAGAAGCTGCACTGCAATCCCAGAGGAACACGGTTCGAATCCACCAGATGCTCTGTCGGAGAAGGAGGCGCAATATCCTCCTGTACCAGTCAGATCTGATTTGACGGTACACGCACACAAAATTTAAAAAAAAAAAAAAAAAAAATTAAAAAAAAAATATGGGTTCAAGGGAGCATCTCTCCCCGAAGGTTGGGAAGAAATGAATGAAGGCCAAGGGTTCTTTCTATGTTACAATTCTGTGAAGAACAAGAAAGACGAAAGATACAAAGAAGAAAAGGTCCACTGACTGGTTAAGAAGGAATTCTGGTGGGGTGTGTAGTCTGTAGGATGGTTTGCTGTTGTTGTTATGTGCCATTGAGTTGACTACGACTCATCACAACCTGACCCTGTGTACAATAATTCTGAACCCTGCCCTATCCTGAGCCAATCTCACCGTCTTTGACACACCTAACCCCAAAGGGTGGTTCAAATCTACCACGCCATTTGTGAAAACAAAACCAGAAGACCCAAGTACAAGTTTAGCCCTCCTGAAACTCCCCCCCCAAAATAAGCTTTATTCACAAGGTGAATCTCTATATGAGAAGCTAACCATGCCTAAACACTCTATCCTATGACTTCTGATTTTGCCACTCTTGTTATGTGCCATTCAGTCAACTACGACTCATAGCGACCCTATGAACAATGGATCTGAACCTTCCTGAATCCTGAACCAACCTCAACCATCCCAAACACAGCTGAGCCCAAGGCTATGAAGAAAGGTTATTCACTTACCTGTGCAGGTCCAACTCCACATAGGGGAAAATGAGTTTTTCCTTGATCAGTTCCCAAATGATTCGCGTCATCTCATCCCCTTTCATCTCTACCACAGAACCACCACGGATCTTCTGCGGCATTTTGACTTCAGTAAACCTTGAAAATGATGGGAGAATGCAAATGCTGTCGTTTAGTTCATTATGAAATGGAAATGAAACATTATCTTCACGACCAATGAAGGAGAAAGTCATAATATTATGACTACAGTAAAGACTAAGATACTCAGATTTAGCATCAGAATTGGGCATTTTCCTACCAAGGCCAACCCCACCCCTAAAGCGTGGGGGAGCCTACCCTTGCAACATGCCCTTATTAACATCTGTTCTTGTTTGTTGGCTCAGCCCCATAAAGTGAGATTATGTCCACAGTTTAACTCTTCAGTGGGCCCTCAGAAAAAGTTGAGTGATAATGCTAGGTTCTCCCACTTATATGCAGTTGTTTTGGTTAAAACAGTGCCCCTGGTGGAGAGTCAACCACTCCTTGTGACTCAAACTCAAGGAAACTTTATATATAAAATAAGTGACATTTCCTTCACCCCAGTAACAGACACTGGGCCAGTGGAGTTAAATATCCTAGTGAATTTTCAATTAGAGAACTCGGAATCTAGAAGAGCCACTTCCCAAGACCCTCGCCCATTCCTCAGCGTCTCAACTCTTTCCATTTAGCTGATCCTGGGCAAGGATAGGACACTGGGGGAGGGGGACCAGGGAAAGGTTCTGAGAAGCAAAGCCATTTCAGAAAGGACATAAGGACATTCTTCGACGGTTCCGCAAAAGGCAGAAGAGGCCTTGAGTCTGCTGTTGACATCTTGTTCCTTCTCATGATGATCAAGGGATTTTTTTTTTTTTTTGATCAAGGGATTTTTAACCCCCATATCTGCAGTTAGAATCCCACTAATCTTCAGGAGACACCCTTGACTGCAGAGTTCTCTAGAACCCAACTACAATTACAAAAATGAGGTAGCTACGCCAGAGAGATAACAATGGCATTACGATATTTACATAAACAGGAGAGGAAGGCAAATGGGGAAGACAGAAGTATGCTTGCTACGGTAAACCTACAATTGTTATAACCATGACCATGAATTCAAACAAATCCCACAATCCCGGGTGTGTCAGAGCAGGACTGAGTCCTCTAAGGCTTGCAATGGCTGATTTTTTTCAAAAGTAGATGAGCAAGCTCTTTTCCCAAGATGCCTTTGGATAGATACGAACCATCAACCTTTTTATTAGCAGTCAAGGGTGTATCATTTGCACTACCCTGGCACACAGCACAGATCCCAGTTTCCCACACAGAGCAAGGATCCTAAAAGTTAACTCCCACCTGCAATCTCATGCCTACCTCACAAAACATCTTAAAGTGTCTGTATCAGTCAGACATGATTCTCCTTTCTCATTTTTCTTTGTATTTTCAACAAAACAGGGGCAGCACATTTATCTTGGTCTTTCTCTGTCCTTGTTCCTACTCAGTATTATGCAAGAGCTATGACTTAGCTATTTTTCCTTGGTGGCAAATACAGTTAACAGACTGATACTTAAAATGTCAAGACTAGAGAGATAGGACTTTTTCATTGGTTATTTCCTTCTCTCTTAAAGCAAATATTTTCTGTAGGAAGTTTGCTCCATCTCTCACGTGCAACTGAAGCATTTCATATATTTTCCCCATTAAATCTTTGGCCATTTAACAAAAAAGGTGAAGGTATATTACATTACAAACTGTGGCTTAATAAAAGCGACATCGTTAAATTACTATCTCCTCTAGATTTGGATTCCACGAAGGGCTCTAGGCCTCACTGATTGAACTGGTCACCTCTGACCCCTCAGATGATCTTTCTCCTCTACCGCTGGCTTCAGAAGGGCGGATTTTTCCAACAGGTTCCTTTAGTTCGAAAGCAGCCGAATTCCAATCTCCTGACCTATTTGTGTAATTCCAGAAAATAAACGTGGAATAATACAGAGCCGTATAAGCAGTAAGAATCTTTTGCCCTATTTGATTTGACTTTCATCATCACCGAGTTTTGAGGCAGAGTTGGTGGTTTGTTTTTTTTTAATGCAAGTTCATGAACTACAAGAATTTCTGGGCAAAAGAAGTCTCTTGCAGAAAAAACACTTGACTGAAAACACGGAAGCAGATACAACTTCTCGTTGCAATTTTTCCAGACTCACTCCCTTGCGAGTGGCCCAGCCCCCCACAACCGACCCAGCACGACACAGTCCTTGCATTCTCACCTTTAACCCCAGACAACTAGTAATCGCCCCAACTCCTTTTGCAGACTCAGCAAATGGAGTTTCTCTTCTAAAACAAAACCAAAAAAAAGGAGAAAGCAAGGCCACGTTCACTAAAATCGGTTAGCTGTTTCTACCGAGGCCTGACAGGCCGGTTTATCTGGTACGATTCAGTTTGAAGGGTGCCCATGGGAGCAAAGGGCACTTCAGGATCTGTGGTCACCTTCCAACCATAGGTCAAAGGAGCACTGGCTATCAGCGTGCATACACCCTAGGGTGCCTCCCTCAGGTGTGTGCACTGGGTGGGCGTGTCCCCGGGTCCTAGTCCGCTAGTCTAGCTCTCTAGGCTTGGACCTCCTTGGGTGGCTCTGTGACCTACTGGCCCTTGTGCAAGAGGACTGCAATCAACCGAAGCTGGCTCGGTTCCTCCTTTCAGGTTTTCACGTCTGCCCCTTATTCCCGCGATCTGGGAGTCTGAACCTCAGAAGGTTGGAGGCGGCAGGGGCCCACCAAAGGTGGCGGGCAGGACCCTCCCCCCCCACCCTTCACTCCGCGGCTGGTGGTCCAGAGAGCACTCAATTGACAGCTCCGCCCCTTCCACGCCCCCCAAGGGCCGCAGCCAGCCACTTGGCAGAGCCAGCCCTGGTGGTCCGAGGCGGCCAACGCCTAGGCCCCAGGTTTCCATCTCCCCGGCGTGCAGCTTTCCCTGCTGCAGGCTTCCTTCCTCCTACACACCAGGCCCTCCTTACCCGTCCATGCAGCCTTCCAGCTCTTGCATTTGCATCTGCAATTACCGTTCCCGTCGCTCATCTCTCCCTCTTACGTCCAGAGCATTCAGTTTCCCCCTCCGCCTCAGTTCCCCACCAGTGCACTCCAGGCCTCACCGCTAAGACCCTCCTTCCATGCCCAAAGACACACACTTTTCTCCAGTTTCCCATTCTGGACACTGGCGGAATCAGAACCCCACCCAACAGCTAGGGGCCCAGGGCGCGCCGTTACCTACAGAAGAAGATGTGCTGGTGAGGATCCCGGAGTACTGCAAGCACTCCAGAAGTTCAACTCCAAGCGTACACTGGGCAGCTTCAGCTGTCTGGGTTTTGGACACCAGCTCCGCAGAAAGCTAGAGAACCCACAGCCCGGCAGGCTTTTTCTTCCTCCGGGTCTTTGTCCCCTCCCAGGCCCTGCCTCCTCAGCCCACCTCCCGGGGCCCCGCCCCCGCCGCTCAGCCAATCGCCGCGGCAGAGTCCTGGGGTGGGCGGGGCCACTACCCACGGCGAGCCCTGGAGGAGTCTCTCCGCGGAGGCAGCACGCGAGCGCCACCTGCAGGCTGAAGAGTGGCGAGCGCCGAGACTCGGATGTGCTGAGGCTGCCCCCTACTGTGCAGCGGCTGCTCCTGTTTTGTGCAAGTTTCCTCAGTGGCTCTAGCTGGGACCTAAGAACCTTAGCCCACCTGATCTCTCTTCCTGTAATGGATGTTCCTTAACCTGTCACGTGCCCTTAGCAGAAAATGCAGTGAGTCCAATGATGAGAGAGGTTGCTTCTTTGAGCTGTTGAAATGCAAAGGATTAAACTGTTACCCAAATACCAACTAAGATTTTTTTTAATTATAATTATATTTTATTAATTTTCATAAACATTTACAGAGATTTTGGGCTTCCACTCATTCATTGTTGCA